TTGGAAAATCTGAAATGCTCCACAATCTGAACTTCTTCTTCTTCTTCTTCTTTTTTTTTTTTTTTTGGTACAGGGGATTGAATCCAGGGTGCTCTATCATGGAGATATATCCCTAGCCCTTTTCATTCTGACACATGGTTTTCTCACTAAATTGCTAAGGCTGGCCTCAAATTTACCATCCTCCTGCCTCAGACTCCCAAGTCACTGTGACTACAGGGGAGCAAGCCCCACCATGCTCAGCCAAAACCTGAAACTTTCTGTGCATCAACATGAAATTTTACCTCATCTGGTGGGTGACAATCAAAATGCAGTYATGCCAAAAACATACAAAATTACCTTCAGGTTATGTGTATAAGGTATATATGAAACATAAAATGAATTTTGAATTTAGACTTGAAATATCACCAAGATATTTTATTATGTATATGTAGCTGTTACAAAACCCCAAACCTGAAACACGTCTGGTCCCAATTCTTCCCATTTTCTCCCCTCCTTCCTCCCCCTCTTCCCTTTCCTCTACTTTCTTCTATTTATTTACAGTTTTTTTTAAGTCAGTGAATTATGGATATTCTGAAGGTGAAATTCCCTGTGGTATATTCATATATGTACAGAGGATAGTTTGGTCAGTTTCACTTCCACCATTCCTCCCTTTTCCCATCCCTCTTCCCTCCCCCTCAAYTCCCTTCTCTCTTTCTTCCTGTGGTCCCAAGCATTTTAAATATAAGGTACTTAATTTATATTTCAATACTTCAAAAAGTCYTAATAGAAAGTGTACTATCATCCAGTCAAAATAAATAAATAATGGTGTGAAAGGAAGATCAGTAGAAGAGAGGAGAGAAAATGGGGGGAGGGAAGAGGAGAAAAGGGGAAAGGTCATGAGGACTGAAATTAAATTCCATGTGTGTATAATTATGTCAAAAGGAACCCAGATACTACGTATGAATGCTCTAATAAAAAAAAAGTGTACTATCATTCTCCAATTTGCTGAAGCAGTCAACAATCTCTACATACTTTTTGATGGGCAACATTAATTCAATGTTGTAACTATACTTCACTCTGATAGAGAAGCTTATTTCACTCTAATAAAGAAGCATAAATTGGCTATTTTCATGGCTTTGACAAATTAAAAACAAGGGGATGAAAGAAGGCAGATACTAATGGAAAAGAAAAGGACACTTTAGTAGTAAAAATTTAGGGTTGGGGTTGTAGCTCAGTGGTAGAGCACTCGTCTTGTATGTGTGAGGCACTGGATTTGATCCTCAGCACCACATCAAAATAAAGATACTGTGTCCATGTATAACTAAAAAAAAATATTAAAAAAATTTTAGAACATGTTGCAAGTTTTACTTTAAAATATTATGGCATTGCATTACGATTGTCCTTTCATAGGTTCTACTGAAAAATTTTAACCACAGGGGTCACTTTTAACCACAGGATCACCTTTTCAAAAACAGGTTTCTCTGGGTATTTTTCACACAAATAGGAAGAAGTAACAAACAGGGGCTGCACTTCATTTTTCCCTTATAAAACCAGAATTTGCTTGTCATAAAGAGTGAGCACCAAGTAAGTCGAATACAAATAACCTAAATTTCTTCCTACCTTCAGTGATCTTTAAGTGCCATATAAAAGCAAAAAAAAAATGCTTTACTGGAAGGTTGTGGACCTATTACCCATGGAGAGTTTCTTTAGGTACCACTCAAGAGGTTAAAGGACTGACACTGAGGGTTCAGGAGAACAAAATAAGCATTAGTGACATCATGGAAACAACAGGAAATGGGGAACCAAGGAACCTGTGAAGGACTGTCACACCCCATGGTAACTCCAAAGGCTTTAACAACAAGGTTTGTCACCATACTAAACTATATGACCAATACAGCCGTCATGACTTTCTCATTATTTGCTAGTATGTCCTTCTTACTAAACTGCAAACTTATTAAGAGACTGTTTTCATTTTATGTCCTCAGCTGCAAGCACTATGGCCCCTGTTCCTCCTTTCAAAAACGAGATTAATATTCACAGCTACCTTATAAAGACTGGGTACCATCCATATCATGCAAGTAAAGTGTTTAAGCCAGTGCCAAGCCATACAATAAATGCTCAATAAATGGTACTACTGTTATCATGTCAATTGTTTGTAATTACATGATTATTATTGGTATAATTCATCAAATGAATTATTGTGAGTCTAAATCTCCCTATGAATATGCKGGAATTCAAAAATGGACTGGAGATCAGTATTTCTCTTCCTTCAACTCTGAGAAGAGGCAGTTGAGTGGATAAATCAGAAGCATGTTTTGACTGAGACAGGTTTAAAATTCAAAAAAAATAAAGCAGGGGTGAACTAAGTTATTCAAGAAAGATATCAAAAACATATGGGGTATAGAAAAGAGGTAACTAATAAAAAAAAGTGTTCTGGAAAACATTATTTTTAAGAAATGCGTTCAAGCTTTATGAGTGCCATTAATACTAAAACGTCTAATACTCAGAAGGTCAAATTCTGTTAGGCCTTTTTCCCCAGAAGTAAAGTGAGGTCCGACATCTACATAAATCACATCGATGTTGACAGATGTGTCTGGGAAGTGAAACTCAAAGGCAGGGTTCAGGGAAGAGGGAGAAACAAGGCAACAGAGTGGGCTGAAGCAGTGGTGGTGGTGGCAGAATCAGGGGTCTGCATTCTCCTYGGAGTTCCTTCCCTTACAAGCTGTGCGACCTTTCTAGGCCTCGCTGGAAAAGTGAGGAAATGAAACACAGTACTTTCTTTCCTTCGTGTGACATTCCGATTTTGTGTTTAAGAAAGAGAAGGGAATGAATGCACATGTGTCTACAGCCAGTCTCTTCGAGTCTCCCCSAGACACCTGGCCGAGGTTCCGCAGGCTGCCCCAACCACAGATGGGGAGCTGCCTCACCGACAGCCGCGGGTCTTCCGGCTGAGCCCCCGACCCACCGCGGCGACYTGGGTGGATCCAGGGGCTCCATCGGATGCGCTACCCGCCTCTCCTTGAGAGAGGGTTGGCGAGGCAGTGACCGGTCCGCCAGCTAAACCCACCAGCACTCCAATTCGGAGCTTCGGGGCCGTCACCTACCGCCTGCGCCGCCCGGCGGCAGCAGCCGCAAAACTCCAGCCCCGCCGCACGGCCGCCGCCATCATCTTAGTCCTTCAATGCGCAGTCGCAGAGGCCTTGCTCCCTCGCCGCGCCCCCAAAGCTCYGCGCAGGCGCAAACCGACCGGGAGTTGGGCTGACACCTAGAAGAGCGCACCCTACAGGCCGTGGGCGGCGCTTGTGCGAGTGAGCGCTGCGGGCTTTCACTTGGTCCTTTGCACCTGTTGCCTACCTACAGCATAAGCCCGAACCAGGCGGTGTCCGGTAGAAAGTTTTGCTAAGCATGCGCGGGCGCCTTCTAAGGCACATACTTCGCACGCATGCGCAGAAACGTACTTTCCTGTTCTTTCTGGTAGCTTTTCTGGCCCTGGCCCAGCAGTTAAAATGCTACTCCTCACCAACCCCAAACCTGCCCCATTCCTYCTTTTAGCACCCTGCTAGCCCTCTGGGCCTAGCACAGTGACCGTCCCCAAAGACTCGTTTCTGATTGGTGTCTCGCCTTTCTGTTGCCCTTCTGTGGTAGGGCTGGTGACCTGTTTTAACCCTCTAGTTAGGTGGGGCTTGTGGACCCACCACTTGGTCATCTTGAATCAGTTCATACACAGGACCCAGCTAATGTAGTGCTATCCTTCGCTGGATAAATATGAGTGTTGACTAGTTTCGAAAGCAAACTACAAAAACCTATTAAGTACTCTTCCAGGCCTTCCTGGGGTATTCAGTTTTCTAAAGTGTGGACGGGGGTGGTGGGGAATGGGAACTGCCTTATTAAATTCCGGGGCCCACTTTAGACCTCAGAGTCAAAATTTCTAAAGGTGGGACCCAGTCATCTATTTTTAACAAGAGCCCCAGGTGATTTCTGATGCAGGCTGAGATTTGAGAACTGTTCTGGAAGGTTGTTAGAGTGCTGTTTTCTAGAATGGAATCAGCAGGCCTGTGGCCAGCAGAATCTGTCCCAAAGTATGAGTGATCTGAGGAGTGGGTGGGGAGATGTCAGTCTGTGGAGCTTCCRCGGGGAAGGTGGGGAGGCTGGGCCAGAGAAACCTTGTATGGCAACATTATTGTTTCACCCAGAGGTGGATGAAGGTCTCAAGAGGCAGATTAGACAAAAGACAACAAATACACTGTGATGATCACTCTAATTACTTATAGCCCTTTCTACACTGCCTTTGTTTTGTTGGTTAAGAGAGGGAAAAAGCAACCACAAAATCTCATTCCTCTTGCATTTTTTTTTTTTTTTTTTTTTTAAGGAACTGGGAATTGAACCTAGGGCCTTGAGCATTTATGCACTCTACCACTGACTACAGACCCAGGATGTTCCTCATTTTAAAATAATCTGGAATACATATTTTAAAAGCAAAATTCCTACTTCAGTATTACTCCTCTGAATAATAATTGCTCTGCAAGCTGTGTAGCTCCCTATTTTGAACCAGCATTAATTTTATTATGGGCAAGGAACCAACATTAACTAAACTTCTGTTTATTCAGATTTCATTGTATTCTTTTTCTTCCCTGGAATCCACTTGGGATACTTTTTTTTCTTCTAGTCTCTTCTGGCCTGTTGGAGTTTCCAACTTTTCTTCGTTTTTTTTTTTTTTTTTTTTTTTTTTTGTACTGGGTGCTCTACAACTGAGCCACATCCCCTGCAAGACTTTCCTTAGTTTTGATGATTAACAGTCTTAAGGGATGCTAGTCAGGTACTGTACTTTGTAGAATATCCCTTAATTGGGGTTTGTTTAATGTTCTCCTCTTGGTTAGAATGGGGTAAAGGCATTTGGGGAGGATGTCTACAGAGCCGAGAGCCCTTCTCATCACAGGTACACACTGTGGCATAATTTTTCATCTGGCAGAGGTGGTGTATGTTAGGGTTTTCCACTGTGAAGTTACTCCCCAATTCCTGTCCGTATGTTCCTTTTGGGAAGCATGGCCCACATTCAAAGTATATAGAATTAAATTCCAGTTGTCTAGTGGGGAATGTACCTAAATTAGTTGAAATTTTATGTTAGGTTTGTCTTTTTTCGTTTATTCAATAATCATTTTAATATTAGTGGAGGCTTATAGCTATTGACTGTATACCTTATAATTTCATACCATGGCATTTATTTTATTGCTCAACTTGTTCTTTGACCTCGGTAGTTCTTTCAGATTGGTTCTTATGTCCCTATGTCTTTCATTTTATTTTACTTTTTAAAGTACTTCTTTTACTTTCTGGCACTATAATTACACCATGTTCCTGGTTCATCTCATTCATTTCCTGTTGTAGCCCTCAAATCAGTCTTTTCTCCTGGGAGATCTGGCTCCTTTTATTTGAACCTGGGCATTTAGAAACCACAAATTGGGTGGTAGGTATGTGTGAATCCATGTACTTTTCATCATCTTATTCCTTCACCTTCATCTGCTCCCTCTCTAGACTTTCTCCTTCTTCCCTAAGCCCAGCTACTTGAGCATTCAACTGTGCTCAAAGGGTTTCGCTCATCAACCCTTCTTGGTCCATGTGCCCCACTGACAGTCTTCTTAGTATTCTCTTTCCGTTTTTTATTCAGTCTCTAGTATAGCTGCATTTTCAAAAAAAAGTTGGCAACTATGGTCTTATTGAACCAAAATAGATTGGATTCCTGGATCTTTGAACACATCCCTGTGAACACAACTTATAACTAGCTCTGTCTGAATCATGTTAAGCTCAAGTTCAGTTAGATAGCACTGTTATTTTTTTTTTAATTTGAGGAGGAAATAGGCAAGCAGGTTCTCCATCATAGTGTAGATTTTTAAAATTCCTAGCTTTATTTCTCTAAGACTTTTCTGTTAATGCTATGTTTCTCTATGTTATGCTCCTCCTTTAGGAATACTAAAAATTTATTAGTAGGTTTGGGGATGTAGCTCAGCAGTGGAGTGATTGCTTAGAATGCATAAGACCCAGGACAAAGCGGGGGAAAAAATATCACTAGGCTTTTTAGTAGTGAAAGATGGCTATGGATCCCTCCAATCACAAGAAGATCTCACTTAAGAAAAAACACAAAGTATAAGTCATTTCATTAGGTTCATTTTAATAAAGTTTCCAACTCAATTATTTATAAAAATTATCAGATACATGAGATAGATCACACCAAGAGTGCAACAACATAAATCCAATAGTCTGCAAATAAGAGGTATTGCGAGAACTGTTAAGATTGACATTGTGGTCTTTCCCCTTCCTTTCCCTTGTTCAGTCTTTGAGACTGTTTGCACATTGTTGTTTTCTGATGCTTGATGACCTCAATACTCCTTAGGGGTTAGACGTTCTTATTCTGTCAACTCCAAATACTGTCAGTGGAGGGAGTTCAGCTTTTCTCCACGGAACAAACATGGTCCTTGGCCTTTATTAAATTTGTTTTCTATTCCCTAGAAACTGATATTTAATGTTCCCTCATTCAAAGTAATGTCTTGCAGGTCTTGCAGTGTCTGGTCACTACTGTTACTACTCACAAGTCCTTAGGATAAGCCCTACTGAATCTTACTTTGGAGATGAGATGATGCTTATTTGGGAAGGAGGCTAAGGCAATGAATGCCAATTTTCTTCAATTCTACTGAGAACAACTTCAGTTCTAACTTTGAGAGTTTGGGGCAAAGGGAGCTGAATTTACTTGTGCCAGATATCGATGATCACTTCTCAGTATTTTTTGGATGCCTTTAAGGGCCATAATTAACACCATGGAAGAAAGCATAGAATGTACATATATGTACACACACAGACCCACACTCCATTCACACTCCTCTACCAGAACTCTTTGGTAGACTCAGAGAATACAACTGACTTGCCCTTTCTGAGTGAAAAGGTTGCATTTTGTCCCTTCCCTTCCAAAGTCTAACCCATTCCACTTTACTTATTTTTGGTCCATGCTGGGTATTGAACTCAGGCCCTTGCTACCACTGAGCTACACCTCCATTCCTCCCACATCTTACTTTAACTGATGTTGGTAAAGCCTATTTCTGCAATTCCTTGCCAAAAGGAATCAGATTGTTTTCCCCCCAGTACTGAACATTGAAGCCAGGGCTTCATTCATACTAGGCAAGTGCTCTAGCAGTAAATTACATCTCCAGCCCTTTTTAGTTTTTATTTTGAGACAGGGTTTCACTAAGCTGCCCAGGCTGGCCCTGGAACTTGTGATCTTCCTGCCTCAGCYTCCCAAACAGATGGGATTATAAGTGTGYGCCACCATGTTTGGCTTCAAACAGATTCTTAAACATGTATAGCTGGTACTAGTACAATGCAATGAGGTAATCCTGACATGATTTCAAGAACATTGTTACTATAAACTCAAAACTGTGTCACACAGAGACTGCTGGGTTGGTTATAAGAATATTGGACTAAGCCACATATAGTTAACATTTAACCACTTCTGCCAGCTGTTCTGGAGTCCTTTCACACATAAACTGGTCCCTGCATTCTGAAGCATTGTGGGCCACAAAAGATCAAGGTAGAGATCAAGGTCGTATCTCTACAGAATAAGGCTGGAGTCCTGCCAACTCTCCTTATAGTCTAAGAGAAATGGGGAAGGTCAGTCATTTCATTGTTATTGGTGACAATCTCACAGGCTGGGCTGAAACTTACAAAACTATTTATAGTAGTTACAAGGGAAGCAACTAAATGTTAACATGGTCATTCAACCACATCTCTCATCATCCGCTTATTCACATGGTTAAAACAGGGGAATGTCAATTGAAGAAATGAAGTGGGAATAAGAACAAGATAGGTGAGCCAGGAAGATTTCCAGGGACAGAACAAAAACAATTTCCAACCAGATACTTTTTTATTATATTTTAAGTGTTAAGTTGTTTCTTTCCTGCTTAGGAGAACTTTGGGTCTCACCCTTCTCTAATTTCCTATAATAAAATTTCCTATTTGATATAATGCATACATATTATGTAATTTGATATGTTTTTATTGCTTAAGGAAAAAATACAGAATTCCTATCATCACATTACTCTGGTGATTATACTTAAATGTGCTTTCTTTAWGCACCAGCAAAATGTCCAACAAGCAGTTGAAAACACAGACATGCATATATTCTAAAATGTACTAAATAAATAATGGGCCAGAAAAGCATTAGTATCCTTCTTGAAAGTTGAGAAAAAGAGATATTGGTTGCCAGAACTCGGATACAACACCGGCCAGTAAACACATACATACTAGTCTGCACATGAGGTTTTCAACTTGATAATGAGCCCAAACCAAAACAGGGTTTATGACCTACATTTCCTTAGGTCTTGCTGAGCATCTGCTTCAGCATAAAATTCTGTTCACTTCATTTTCCAATCTAACCATGAGGTTTGGAGCTAAAGGCTGTCAAGCCCAAGAAACTGGTGAAGTAAAACTTCAGTAATTCAATAGTGCCTGCTAGTCAATTAACAGGTGTTCTTTAAGAGGTCATCAATACATGTTGTGGCTTAATGCATTGTCTAAAAATGTCCTGGTTCATTGTTTTTCACTGCAATGAAAGGTCAACAATTCCTATATMAAATGTGTAATGCAAACAACATACAACACAAACTAAAACAAGAAAGTGCAGTACTTTGTTGACTATATATTTTCTTTTTCCTCTTTAATATTAAATTGCTGCAGTCTAGTTATTGGAAACATGCATTTGCTACTAATTCATAACACACTGAACACTCCTGATTTCCCTTAAAAAGGGTATTTTTCCAGATTTCCAGATATAGGATGGCCTCTGGCAAGGCCACTTAATCTTTGATGCATTTACTCTTCACTATCCAAAAGTAACCAGTGAAAAGTGAATAAAATCCTACCATAGTATTCAGAATCCACCAATTATTAACTTGTAATTAATGTAATCCACAAGTCAAAATTTCTTCATGCATCAATGAATAAGAAAAAAGTAATTTGCATGTGGTTACATTAATTTTCCTATTTGAAGAAGGCATGTAGTTTCCACCCATGTGGGTCTACAGCAAACATGAAAAAGAGCAAATCTATCCTTCAAAAAGCAATTCAACTACATAATAAAATTACCATGATTTTATTCTGATTTGTACCTTGAGAATTAAAATGGCCACTTGATTAGGAGGAAGTGATCAAATAAACAAAGGAATAACATTTGTAGGGCTGAGGTAATCCTGAATATTTGGAAGAATGAGTTAGAATGACCTCTAACTTTAAAGAGTTGTCTTTTTTTCCCCCTCTTCTTTTTTTCTTTCTTTTTTAAAAATAAAGACAGGTCTCTCTATGTTGCCCAGGCTGGCTTTGAACTCTTGGGCTCAAGCAATCTTCCTGCCTCAAACTCCCCAGTAGCTGAGACTTGAGGTGCACACCACTATGCCAGGCAAGTAGGTTTTTTTCAGATGAGAACTCTCTGAATATTCCTATTCTCCTAGCTCATGCCTTTGAGGGCTTCACTTGATAACTACCAGAGGAAAAGTTTGTGGTGCAAAGTTCCATGTGCATTAACCAAAGCTATTCAATGGAAATACAATTTTGCACACATTGTTACATTGGGGGAGGGACAGAAATAATTGTGAGAAGGCAAATTCTTAAAACTGAACACTGAACATCCATTAAGATGAAAGACAGGTTTCTGGCCACAGTTAAGACCTCAGTCGAAAAATCATCGCTAGTAGCCCTAACACAGTGCCAATTATTTCTCTTTTAACGTGGATATTTGAAATAGGTGGAGACTAAGAAAACAAAAAGTGTTTTAAAGGAGTTGTTCTTATTTTATTATCAAGATTTTGAATTTTAATTTTTTCATGATGTGGATCAAACTTGGGGTTTTGGCATACTAAGTACATGTTCTACCACCGAGGTATACACCTTCACCTCCTTGAAAGAATAGCACACATAATCAACCGCAGTAGAACTTGGCATTTAGGCTTGATTCTTGAATGAACTTCCAATAATTTGTAAATCACTAATCTAGGTTGGTACACAACTCTTGCCAAGTTTCTCCAGTAGTGGAGAAATCACTAACATTTACTAGAAGTTTTAGGAAGCTCTCAGGTTGAAACTGATGCAGAGACTCTTTCCATTAAATTGGGCTTCCTCAGCAGAAATCTTCCCATTGAGACAAAGGTTTTAAGGCACTAAAAATAAATGGTATGAAAAAAGCTAAGAATGAGTCAGATCTTTCCAGAAATAAAAGATACTTCCAAAAACACAATCCAGTAACCTGTCTGCCCTACTTTAACATCTAAAGAGAATAGAGAATTTAGTTTTCATGGCTAGCTAATTCAGCATTTTCATTCTCCCAAATTTATTTACATGTCCCAGGTTCATATTTCCTCAAGAGGTAGTGGAGAGAGATAAGGATTTGTGGGAGAAGGGGAAACAAGCAAACTAATTTTGCATCCTAGTCTAGAGATTAATGAATTCCATAATGACAGCACTGAGTCCAAGCTACCCAGTGGCTGGAATTGTAACAAGGCACTCCTTTCTACTGTTGTGAGGGGAAAACATATACTTAAAAAATTAAATTTTCACAACCAGGTAAAGGAAATTTGTTAAAAGCACAGAGCAAATTCTGGAGAAAAAACAATCCACTCTGAACCTCAGTTCCAGCAAGATTTCCCTACATCTTCCAATGGATACAATTTTGCCATGATTAAAAAAAACAAAAAAAAAAAACACAACTAAATAAAAACAGGGTTCAAGTTGGTTAGGTCAGCAGGCAAATGGGAGTAAGAGTGATCTGATTGTGGAGGTAGGCATGGTGGGATAGGATTAACCTAGAGGAAAAATGTTTCTGGTGCTTGTGCATGTGTGTGCGTGCACACACACACTCACACACGCGCCTGTGCATCCATACCAATTTAAAAAGTGTGGGAAGGCCCTGCTCACATGATTAGAATGAGCACAGTTTTCCCATCTGCATGCATTTCTACATAGGAGAGGATCTGATGCACATCACACACCCACAGACACACGTGAGGGCCATCCTGGCTTGAACACAGACTCAGAAACAGATCCACAGAATCCTTCAAGAGCTGCTGGTTCTACAGGAATGATTAGTAGCTGCAAGATTATACTTCCTCTTGACATGCAGGATTTTTATATTGCTCTTTTCTAGAAATCTCCCTTTTCCAAGAGTATTAAGTCCTGGAGGGATTAATCTTGACTCTTCAATGGACATGACTCAGAAGAGGAGTTACAAGAATTAATACTAGTAATAATATGGCCCCTGGGGTTGGGGTAAAATATTCCTGGATTAAAACAGTTTTGCAGGGATGGAGGGAGAAGCAGAGTTCTGGGTGGAAGTGGAAGGCCTCTAGGAAGGAAATTGAAGTGTGTGAAAGTCTAGAAATCAATAAAAACAAAATAAAGCATAACTTAGAAGGGCTTCAACCAAGTGTCACTACAACTGAGTTTGTTGAGTTGAAGAGACTCTGCTCTGATGCAGGGGATGGAAATAACTGATACTATTTCTTCTTGAAAAGGCTCAGCTGGGAGTGGTGTGGTGATATTTATGGGGTGGGGTGGAGGCGGAGGCCTAGGCTCAGGTACTGCTCCTAAGGTTTTTGCTTGCCTGCTTTTGAAGGAAAGGGTGCTAAAGCAAAAGGATCAGCAGCTGGTAGTTCCGTAGTCCTGGAGGAAAGGGATGTGATGGAAACAGAGCCTGCTATTGACTGCTTGTTGGTTTGGGAAACAATTTTGTACGCAGCAATTGGCTGGGCTTCTGGGCTTGGCTCATCTTCTGGGCTATAGTGACGGGAATATTTGGATAAAGACTGGGGGCGGAATGGTTTGCCAGCCATAGGGCCTGAGACAGCTTCTTTCTGGGGCAGAGGTCCTTTGCTTCTGTCATTGGGCTGGCCCCCAGATTCCAGGGAGGTTCCCCTGGGAGAGATGCTGTCAAGATGGTCTACTGCTTGGACAGAATGGGAGGGGTGGTTAGACTGTTGCACAAAACCAGCTATGGAATACTGAGKTTGGACAGAGCTGTACACTGCTCTTTCAAGGCCTGAGAGCAGAGGGACATCACCTGTCTGGCTGAGGAGACTGGTCTGTGCAGGTGGTTCCTGAGAGGAGCTCTGGATAACTGGTAACTCCTCCATGCTTTTCTTCTTGGTAAAAGGAGCTCTCAAGAACACATCCACCTCCTCTGGCTGGGAAGGAGCCACACTGCCTTTGGAGACAAATGGCGCTTTGGAGAAAATGTCCATGTCATCAGCTAGGACTCTTGAGCTCCTGAAGGGGGCTGTGGCGAAGACATCTGGCTCACTAAAACCATCGGTGGCTGGCTGCGTAAGGGTTTGGAACTGGTTCTTTCTTCCACTTTGCATTGCTTTTGCTTGCTCAGCAGAGATTTCAGGTGAAGCAAATGCAACGGCTCCTCCTGGCTTCCCCTGGGACGGCTTGCAGCTTTCATCCTCCTCTTCAGACTCCATAAGGAGAGGTCGAGACCCACTGCAGTCTAGCATGTCTCCCTCCAGGTCAGTCCCCTCCTCTTCACTGCTGTGGAAAGAGCTATTGCTTGAAGGGCCATCTCTGGCTAAATAGTCAGATTCTAAGTTGTTCTGAGTCTTTGTGCCAGGTACTCTGGAGGGGTCTGGATACAGGGGAAGGCCTTCAATGCCCGCTGATTCTTTAAAGTGCTCTACAGTAATTACAGGACAGGGATTGGGCTCTCTCTGGAGACCTAGAAAAGCATAAAATGCAGAATTAACATGTAGGTCAGTTCAACTGGTTTTGGAACATTTAATAGTCAACCCGCGGCAGAAACATTGTGGGAACAAATAAAAGGTGTTGAAAATGGAAAAGGAAAAAACAGAAAAATAAAAGTCAGGCAAGGAAACTGCACACAGACTGGAACACAACCAATCACTATCTCACATTTTGGAACATGATAGGCACAATGTGCAGGAAAGGAGATGAAGATGTTAGGCACACAGACATTCAGCATAACTACGCAATGCTCCTACTCGCGGGGCCAGGCACAGACACCTGCTCTACCTGGCACTGGCTCATCATGGAATGAAAACAAACCCAGTCACTCATATGCCACATATGCCATGAAAGTTTTGGATTATGTAGAAACACTGTCTGGGGATGAACTCAAGTTAGTATCTGGCATGTGGTCATCTGCTCCACATGCAGAGGGACAGACCCTCAGAAAATCAGCCCAGCATGGCTGCTCAGTAAGTGCAAGTTTACTTGGTGATTCACATCACCAGCACTACTAAAAGAGTACTGGGGGTGCCCAGATCAAAACAACTGAAGGTACTTTCTAAACAGAGGATACAGAATTAAAATCATACTAAATAAAATCACCTTCAGCTGGAGTTGCTCTGGAATTTTGTTTTCAGTCTTCTGAGTTAGCAAAGACTTCCTCTGCTTAAATGAATCCATCATTAAGTTCTTTAAGCAGAAGGAGTAAAATGCATGGGTAATTATGGAATCTTAGCAAACTGCTAAAGGCTAGTCTATGCCTATCTAGGTAGAGGTGCCTCAGGGTGCTCTGGCTTTTGAAATCAAATAGACAATTATCAGAATGCAAGAGAGCTTACCTTCCAAGAAATATTAGCAGGTTAGAAGTATGTCATTGGGCACATGTTAGCAAGAGGGCAGGAAAAAGGCATATGTAACTAAGCAAGAAGAATCCAGAGAAAGGACGGTTGGGGCAGGGTAAAGGTATCATCATCGTGGGCTCAATAAAGAAACACCATTGGAGTTTCCCGACCCACCAGGATAAGAATGTTAGGTACAATGATTTGGAGTCATAGATGACTCAGGACTTCTATACAGATGGAATTCAATTATCCCCTCCCACACAGGCCCTCTCCCCTTCTATGAAAACCATTAGCTTGCAGAAATTTCTGCTAAAAATTATCCCCTTCTCAAGTTTCTGCTTGAATTAAGCACACGGAACACAGCAGAAGAGGCATCAAAATTAGTTTATTGGGAAACCAGTCACTTAGACATTACATTGTAAAGAGAATGTAGAGAGAGGTCTGAACATTTTATAAGATACTATACAAAAATACTATGTTTCTCTGAATCCTATAACTTTTTAGCAGTGCTTTCTTTTTAAACAGTTCTGACGGTAAGTATTATTTTTTCTAGGAACAAAAAGTATTTTTTTTCCACTCACTTTTATTTTCCTTTCTATCTGTATGAATGTATTTAGTCAATTACAAATTTGAAATTTAAGTGCTGGTGCTAAGTAACTTTTGGAACAGTCTTTGAAGATTATGATTTTTGAAGAGAATAAATTTTTCCTTGTATTAGAACTCGAAGATGTGCAGTTACATGGTGGTATGARGGCATCAGTTAGCTGTTAGGAGATAAATAGGATAACTTTTCCCTTCCAAGATATGTGGGAAAGACACAGTCCTAATTCTCAGGCAAGTATATTGATATATTGTCTCAGCAATACCCAAGCAACAATTTCTGAAGGGAAAAATAATTTTTCCAAAAATGAAAATCACCAAGCCTTAAAGAGGCACAAGAGACCCCTAAAAACCTTAAATCATTTCCTTGCACAGCAACAGCTGGAAAAACTTTCATTTGCCAAAATTAAGGTATAATTTTTCATCTTCCAAAACTATTCTGAAAGCTGACACTGTCATATTGATTCTGCAGGAAAGCAAAATATCTTTTAGGGATTAAAAATATCTTTTCGGACATCATCTAAATCAAGAATCAAAATGAACACTATTAATTCCAGCTACTTGGGAGGCTGAGGCAGTAGGATCACAAGTTCAAGGCTAGTCTCAGCAACTTAACAAGATCCCATCTCAATAAATAAATAAGGACCAGGGATGTAGCTCAATGGTAGAGTGCCCATGAATTCAATCCCCTGTACTGCAAAAGAATGGGGGAGGGGGGAGTACACTACTTTGACAAAGTTGGTGGTTTTAGGAAATTTAAAATGAATCAAAACTATTTGTTAAAAAGTGAGTTTGGGGCTGGGTGCGGTGGTACACACCTGTAATCCCAGAGGCTCAGGAGGATGAGACAGGAGGATCAGAAGTTCAAAGCCAGCCATAGCACTTAGTGAGGCCCTAAGCAACTTAGTGAGACCCCATCTCAAAAAAAATAAAAAGAACTGGGAATGTGGCTGAAAGTGCCTCTGGGTTCAATCCTGGGTACAAAAACAAACAAATAAAACACAACTTCCAACTCACAGCATATTCTTCAGTGGTAAGTAAGGGGATAAACCATACTTAAAATGCCAACAATTTTTAAAAGTTCAGTCACAAAAACACTGTAATATCAAGTGTGAAGGGGAAATTAGTCTCCTTCAAAACAAGGACAGAAGCTATTTCCTATCTGTCTTTGAGCATCCATCTTTTTTGTAAAACTGGAAAAGTACATTTAATGATTTTTCCTGAGAAAACTTAGTCCCTCAATCTTTTCATTCTTTTTAGAGCAGGTTCCAGTGTGACTGGGGCATAGAATAACCTCCCTTTGCAACTCTGTAGGCCTGGCACTCTGAAGGCTAAAGAAATGCCAGAGAATAAAGGGAAGCCCAGACATTTACATTTCCTTAAGGAATTCTTTTGATGGTAGAACAAGAAACAGAGTGATCAAGAGAAGCAGAGATTCTAATCACTGTAAACAGAAGGGAGACTCTAGAGGTGACTCCATATTAGTCAATTTTGAGGCTCCAAGTTATGTAGATTTCAGTAAAACCTCTTATGCTTCAGGGAGTAGCAAAGAGTCCCCAAAAGTGCCTGATGATTTGAGATGTGTTGATTCTGGACATTTATCTGTCTGACTAATGAGGGTCATCAGAGTACTTTCTAAAGAAGGAAAATCTGAGCCAGGCATGGTGGCATATTTTTGTAATCCCAGCAACTCAGGGGCCTGAGGCAGGAGGATCACAAGTTCAAAGCCAGTCTCAGGAATTTATCGAGGACCTAAGCAACTTAGTGAAACCCTGTCTCAAAAAATCAAAAGGGCCAGGGAAGTGGTTAAGTGCCCCTGGGTTCAATAACAAGCATGCGGCCCACGCGCGCGCGCACACACACACACACACACACACACACACACACACGCATATACAAACTCACACACAAGAATCAAAGTCTGAAGTTAAATTTTGGGTTGGATATTCCTTCGTCCAATGAATTAGAATTTTACTTTTCTCCATGTCATAAACATAAATAACACTTTTGGGAATATCAAAGACATAATTCTTGCCAGAAATGGAAAATAAAGAGTACTGAAAAGCCTTCTCATGGAGTTAGTGAATAGAAAGCAAAATTCCCTTCATAAGACCTCAGAAATGTGGCATCAGTTGATATTCAGTTTGGGACCCAAATTAAGGAATTAAGGGATGAGCATCACACTAAGAATTTCCATGACCTTTGGGCTTTGATAATAAACAGAAGCATCTGGTTCTGCCATATGTTGGGTAGCTGCAGAACACACAACTGGATGGGGGCCAACACTAGCCAGTGATGCCGCATGTCTCAAGCCTATGAGGCAATTAAATGAGAGCAATTTCTCACTGGGCATACAATTGTCCTCACTAACCTAGAATGTTTAATTACTTTGGCCTTGGTATGTTATAGATTAAATTTAAGGAGGGCAGCTGCAAATCTGGGCTCTATTTTACAACCCCAGGTCTGGTCATACCATAGGGGCTTTGTTCTATTTGACCACAAGGGGTTTTATTTTCCAAGGTGGCATGACTCATAAAAATGTCCTCGGTATGTCTCTCACATGTGTCCGCCTTTTCTTTTCTGGTCATTCAATAGTGTGTTTAAATAAATTCAGCAAAAGTGGGTTTACAACTCAGGAAAACAACAGCTATTTTAAATTATTTACATCTCTAAACATCATGCTCTCATTTGAACAGATAAAAGTCTTTATTTCCCTGTAAGTTTACATAAGAAATTTGTTTACAGACTTGTTATTTATACAATACTTGCGAAGCAATGTTCAAATTTCACATTTTTACTGCATAAGATAGCTTCATGTACATCTGTTTGCTTTATCTTCTTGGGGAGGACAGGTTAAAGACCTATGGTAAACATACATCCACGTGACAAAGGGGTGTGCAATAGGGCAGAGTAGAATACTCACAGGAAAAGAGTAAATTCAGGACACTGCGTCAAAATGGGAACCGAGAAAGTGTCTTCCATTATAGCAACTACCACCATTTGGTAACTTTGTTTGCATAGGATAGCATTACCCAAGGAGCCTCCCTCCCCCATCCTAGTGAAAGGAAACCCACGAAAAGTGAAATAAGATCTTGGTACAGATTTTTTGAAATGGGAGCCATCTGAGATTCATTCCACTTGAAGAAACCTAAGCACATCCAACTTCAGGAACATCACCAGTGTGGAAATGAAAAGATTAATTTTGGATTGGTAAAGTTAGTCTCTAGAGAGGAACATAAGACAGCTTTGCAAAATCTTGAGTGTTTCACCAAGGATTCCATTCTAAATATCTGACAGTTTTCTGTTCTGCCAGGAAGTCTATGATTTGCTTAATTCAGTATATTTGAGAAGTGCATAATTTTTATCCCTGAACTTAAAGTTAGTTGCTACAGGACCCTGATAATAGACTAAGAAAGTCAAGGACTCCTGAAGGTCACAGAAAAACCTCATCATGGGAGATTATTTTAGCCTTATGTGTCTATAGCATTCATTTGTTTAGCTGAATGCAGATCTTTCCATACCTCTGGGC